AAAACTTGAAGTCGCATCATATGACCCCTTTAACGCTTAAGCCAGACAAGTAACCTGATTAAAATATCAGTAACCAAAAATGACTAGGCAATCACCAAAATGCAAATATTATTCTGATTTTATTACATTTAGAGATTTTATTACATTTAGAGTAAGTGGCGAATAGTGGATATAGCTACTGCATATAAATGCATGTAGGGTATAAAGTTGCGCTGCTGAGGCGAGGCTCACGCAGCCTCTCCAGGAGAAATCAAAACTCGCAACACAAGGAAAGTCAGTGTGCTGAGGTAAAAATTCAAAATGAAAAGTTTTTATATTTAATATACAGTTAGTTAGGCAACATCACACAACGTTTTCACCATTACGACTGTTCAGTAAACAGCTCAATAAGAAAGTACAATAATATTAGGTCACTTATATTTTTTGGCGGAGCCACAGCGCATCTCACAGCAACCAGGCGATTCATTGCTGAATGATTCCGTGTTTTGAACGAATCGATCGAGTCAAACTTTCATTAGCTCATGCATAACCATCTGATGAATCAGCCGTTTGAACGAATTGTATGAACAACTCAGTGACTCATTAAACGCTCACTACTGGCACCTACTGGGGTATCATTTCCACCATCAAAGTTTTTATATTTAAAATACAGTTAGTTAGGCAACATCACACAACGTTTTCACCATTACGACTGTTCAGTAAACAGCTCAATAAGAAAGTACAATAATATTAGGTTACTTATATTTTTTGGCGGAGCCACAGCGCATCTCACAGCAACCAGGTGATTCATTGCTGAATGATTCCGTGTTTTGAACGAATCGATCGAGTCAAACTTTCATTAGCTCATGCATAACCATCTGATGAATCAGCCGTTTGAACGAATTGAATGAACAACTCAGTGACTCATTAAACGCTCACTACTGGCACCTACTGGGGTATCATTTCCACCATAATTTCTTGTTTGTGTATTCAAAAAAATTAAGACAATCTCATAACATTATTCAATGAGCAAAAAAATATATCTTTTGTTAAACATAATAGCTTTTTTTCACCCTGTTCCACTGCATTCCACTGGAAAAAAATTTAGCTTGAAGAACACACCGCAAAGGCTTCACCCAAGGGCTAAACCAGCATGTATGTTCTGTGCTTGCATGAGAGGAAATAACTTTCCATACCAGCTGGTGGCAGTAGTCTATATTTGTCATTGCTAACTATTTTCAACATAAATCATGTTGATCAGTTCATCTTCACTTATTTCATTCCAGACAGCCGTGTCATTATGAAAATATTCACATATCGGAATGCTCATATAGGATAACCAATCAGTGTGATCTCTTGCACAATGGCTCTGACGCTGATACAACATATTTAATTGGCTGAAAAGCTGTCAATGGTGATCTGACTAGTTCCACTGGTGCAGAACACACAGCAAAAACGGGACCAACAGATGCTCAATGACAGCCAACCATCAGTTTGGTCTGTCATGGCTTTTACATCTCTATGTTCTATGAAAACATGTTTGACATTTGTGCCAAAAGTTATTGCATATCACATTTATGGAAAAAAGTATTAGAAATATAGAGACTTTATTAAAAAATGTATTTAAATTTGGGCCTTTATTACATTAAGAACCAAAAAGAACCAATATATTTGTGACTTCACATTTTAAGTCCACTCTCAGCCAGACTCAAAGACAAGTCAAACTGTAGCATATGTCAGTTAATCTGGTAGCTCCATGCTAATCACCTCTTTATTTAATTCATTTTCTCACTTACGCCTCCATCCTAATGAACATTGGATAGCTGCTGAGGTTACTGTGGATCAGATTAATAGACCTCTGATTAGTGTTGGAGTACTGGCAGTGTAAGACCCGCACTGAGATTACAGTAGAGTAATTCAAACATTTTAGGTTAGGCATAACATTCAGAATGAATCAGTATTTGAATGAAGTAGTTACCTGGCTTTCCTGATTGCCTTTTAGTAAATCACTTGTAAAATCATCCACAGACTTAAACTAGAATGTGGTAAAACTTTGATTCAAGTGTGTTTTTAGGTTGTGGTTTAGTGGTTCGAACAAACATTAGTACGATGCAAATATAATTTGCAAATAGTTAAAATTCTTTACAATAAATTATAGTTATATTAGCTGTTTGTCTTTCTTGTTTCTTTACATGAGCTCTTTTGGACAAAAACTGTCCAAGTGTTTGCTTGATATGTCTGTCAGGTCTGTGCTTAAAAAAAAAGAAGTTATAATTTACTTATGTCATTCCAAGCAAAAAAATGTATATAAAACATAATAGCTTTTTTTTCACCTTGTTCCACTGCATTCCACTGGAAAAAATTTAGCTTGAAGAACACACCGCAAAGGCTTCACCCAAGGGCTAAACCAGCATGTATGTTCTGTGCTTGCATGAGAGGAAATAACTTTCCATACCAGCTGGTGGCAGTAGTCTATATTTGTCATTGCTAACTATTTTCAACATAAATCATGTTGATCAGTTCATCTTCACTTATTTCATTCCAGACAGCCGTGTCATTATGAAAATATTCACATATCGGAATGCTCAAATAGGATAACCAATCAGTGTGATCTCTTGCACAATGGCTCTGACGCTGATACAACATATTTAATTGGCTGAAAAGCTGTCAATGGTGATCTGACTAGTTCCACTGGTGCAGAACACACAGCAAAAACGGGACCAACAGATGCTCAATGACAGCCAACCATCAGTTTGGTCTGTCATGGCTTTTACATCTCTATGTTCTATGAAAACATGTTTGACATTTGTGCCAAAAGTTATTGCATATCACATTTATGGAAAAAAGTATTAGAAATATAGAGACTTTATTAAAAAATGTATTTAAATTTGGGCCTTTATTACATTAAGAACCAAAAAGAACCAATATATTTGTGACTTCACATTTTAAGTCCACTCTCAGCCAGACTCAAAGACAAGTCAAACTGTAGCATATGTCAGTTAATCTGGTAGCTCCATGCTAATCACCTCTTTATTTAATTCATTTTCTCACTTACGCCTCCATCCTAATGAACATTGGATAGCTGCTGAGGTTACTGTGGATCAGATTAATAGACCTCTGATTAGTGTTGGAGTACTGGCAGTGTAAGACCCGCACTGAGATTACAGTAGAGTAATTCAAACATTTTAGGTTTAGTCAAGTCAAGTCAAGTCTGCTTTATTGTCAGTTCTTCCACATGTACAGCACATACACACAGAGTCTGTTTGTCTGTCTTATGAGCTCATAACCTACTCTTCTACTAGTAGTATGTACAGGGAGCAGTGGAATCTTCAAATCAATTAATATATTCAATTTGCTGCAACTTACCTGGTCACATGTGATATATAATAAGTGGTTTATTTAGACTAGTGAGGTGTAGTGATTTTATAAGAACTCATGATAGTACCACATTCTATAAAAGCCTTTATAAGAGTTGATTGCTCACTTTTAAATAGGTTATTAATTTCAATGGAAAGTCTCATTAAATGCAGTATTTAGCTGCTGGCATGCACTGGGCTGAAAAATGATTGAGTGTGATTATGAAATAACTACATTACATACATACTTGGTTTCACTGTATTAGAAGGGACAGCTCATTGGCACAACGGTTTATAGCAGAGGATATTTGTTAAACCTATAACATAATCTAAACCCCAAATATAATCTGTTGATGTAAAGGAAGATATTTTTTTGTGGGTGATTTCAAACAATGAAGACCACCTCAGAGGATGTTATAAGACGGTTTTCAACATGTTTCACTATTTATAGGGACATTACACCTAAACCTACCCCTTACAGAAAACTTTGTGCATTTTTACATTCTCTCAAAAAAAAAACACATTCTGTATGATTTCTAAGCTTGTTTAACCATGCAGGACCTCAATTTAGGTCCCCACAGTGTCTATCTATCTATCTATCTATGGTGTGTGTGTGTGTGTAATATTATTTTAAAAAACAAGAAATATCTTATCCGCACCAAGGCTGCATTTATATACAGTCATTACACCAGTCTTCCTTGTCTCATGATCCTAAATGTGATATCCTAAATAAGAAACAGAGGAAAGATTGTCAGTGCCTGGTATCAATCTCAAAATATATATATATATTTTTGGAAATTGTGATACAAATTTGGGCTAAGTAAAAAAAAGTACTTTTATTAATCAAGGACACATTGACTTGATCAAAAGTGACAGTAAAGACATTTATAATGTTACAAAATATTTATTTTGAGCTTTCTGATCATCAAAGAATCTTGCAAAAATGCATCATGATTTTCACAAAAAATATTAAGCAGCAAAAACTGTTTTCAACTTTGATAATGAGAACCATTATTAATAATTGAGCGCCTATAATAATTTAGCACCAAATCAGCATATTAGAATAATTTCTGAAGGATCATATAGCTGATAATTCAGCTTTGCCATCACTGGAATACATTAGGCTACATTTTAAAATATTCAAATAAACAGTTTTTTTCTAAATTGTAGTAATATGTCACAATATTGCTGTTTTGTAATCGAACAAATGATACTATGAATAATAAATACATGAAAAATAAATAATATGTTCTATTGTTTATTAAGGTGTTTTCGTTCTGGGTGTGTGGTTCCCACAATGTAGGCAAAATGCACTCACACATAGCCTACTTTACTTAACAGTATCTTCCCTGTTCCACCCAACCAAGTAGATTCCCCCTCCTGTCAAGACCATCTTTGCACTGAATTGTTTAGCCACTATACCTACTCCCTCTGACTGCTGTAAGGATGTTAGCGGCCATTCATGCATGCTGTAGTCATTCATCATTTTAACCACATAAAGCCCGTCTACAAACATCTAGTGCTCTTGTCGTGCAGTGCATGAATGTGTGCATGAGTTTTGCAAAGTGAGGCATAGCTTGATGGATCGATGGCGTGACGTCAACACACAGTTACCTTGCTGCGAGGGAGGGTGTATTAATCTGTGTGTTTGTGTGTCAGGAGAAAGAGAGAGACGCGTTAATCTCCAGGGAAATGGGCATGTTTGGAATAAACGGAACCAGTCAGCAAGCGCACTATAATATTCCAGTGGCTGTGGAAGAAGTGTTTCCAGAGAGAGAGAGAGGAAGGGAGAGAGAGAGAGAGAAGGAATATGAGGGCAGTACTCAAGATGAGCCTGCGCTTTGAGGCTGTAAAACACTAGACCCTGAGGGCATTCTCTGAGGTAAGCTCCGTGTCTCTCATATTTTAACAAGGGTTGACGCCACGGTGTTAAACGTACGGCGCGTCTATTCTTTATGTTTGTAAAGTAGCGCGCGATAAAGGTTCGAGTCTCCTCGCGCTTACTTGGACGCGGCGCGCTCTGTTCTGTCAGATGTGACGGCTGCGCTTAAACCGTAACGGCTTCGCAGTAAACTCTCCTGAGGTAAATAGGCGTTAAAGGAGAACGGGCCCCGGGGTTATGGCCGGTAAACTGTATTAGTCAGGACCTGAGAGTGGATAAACGAGCGCAAAGCTGCCTGCATGAAGTCCGTTCGGCGTTTTGACAGTCACTTCACTCAAGTCACAGAAGTTTGTATATTCTAACCGAGATGTGTTGAATGGAACAAATGTATAAATCAGCAATAGCCTGCTTTTTTCTAGTGTTTCTTAGCTTCCTTGTTCCAGCAGGGCTGCAGCTATTTTGAGGTCCACACTGTCCAAATTAAAGCAGCCTCTCGCAGCAAATTACACACTGAGAAACTGCTTTTAGTTCAGAGACGTGTGTGACAGAGAGAGGGAGAGAGAGAGACAGACCTACTTTATGAGGGGAGTTAAACAGGTTTGTTAAATGTCACACCACAGCCGCTTTTACTGTCACCTCCTAATAAAGCAACTATTGTATTTCTAACCGTTTTTAAATACGATCTCACCTACATGAAACTTGCGTTACATCCTGAAGTTTTGTATAGGTGACGGGAAAACAGTGCTTTTGCCGGATTATTGCTCAAATTTTAGTGAGAGTGTGACTTTTACAGCTACCGGCTCGTTTTGGGTGAACTCGGTTAGTATTGTTAAAGTAAATCAGATAGTTTCCTGTCTTTATAATGCACGAAAGATGTATAGTTGTTGTTCTTAAAGAAGTAAGTAGTTTGTGTGCATAGGAAAGTCTATCTATTTATCTATCTATCTGTCTATCTGTCAATCTATCTATCTATCTATCTATCGAGATTTTGAGCTTCTGTAAAACCCTGCTCTCATTCATTTAAATATGTTAAACATCTTCATTTAAATATTAATTTAAATGTTGGCTACATCACGCCTCACCCCTGCCACCAGTGTCTTTACTTGTTTCATTTAAAGACTGGCTTTCATTGCAGCTCTGCCTCTTTAGGAAATCTGACTGTGCAAGAGAAAAGAAAAGTGAGCTGGTATCTGCCGGTTCATATCGATGCATTGGGCGTCCAGCTGAGATGCCGCGACGCTGACGGTCCTGCCCCGTCTGTCGAACCGGACCAATGATGATAATGAAGATGATGATGTCCACACGGCGCGTGTAGCGCTAAATCACCACTACCGGACCCTTACGAGACACTCCACTCTGATCCGCGCTCATTCAAACTTCAGATGGACTGCCTTCACTCTGCACTGACCAGTAAAATGAATTGGATCACGCTCCTGCTGGCCGGCTTGACTTTTTGGGGCAAAGTGTCCTTGCACAGCTGCTTAGATTATGATGACAGTTATGATTATTATGAAGAGGATAAAACAGAACCGATAGACTACAAGGATCCCTGCAAAGCTGGTAAGGCGCTTTTGTGCGTTTTTTTCATGCGTTTGATGTGTAAACACTTTCTGTGAGGTAATCAAAAGAGAAAGCATAAACATCTAATTCGCAGTTCACACGGTGCTGTATTGTTATATGCTAAATGGAGGAGTGAGTTGTTGCGCTTTTTATTCCCAAACTTTAGGTAATTTTTTTTACGCGGAGACTCGCACGGGTCACGCATTGAGTCCTCTGGCGCGCGAGCATCAGCGACGCCTCTTTTTTAATCTTTTTTTTATCTTTTGAAGTAGAAATATCCCCCGCAAACCTCGCACAACCCCTCCTCCCCCGCTGAAATGATCTAGCCCGCTTTAATTCGGTTTCTCCCGGAATGATCCCGCGTCTCGCGGGGCCACGTGCGCTCCGCTGTCATAAACTCATCCATTCCGCGCACATTTGTCCGGGCAGGTAGAGTGGCCCTGCACGATTTACAATCTCTTATGCAATTATTATATCAATCGAACGAAGTTGAAACTGAGTTCACTCCGTCCATGTGAACCACTATTTCACCTGCTGACAGCTGGCATGCAAAATTTATTAACGAATGTTATTAATTAATATTACGTAAAAGGAACGAGTAATTACAAATAATCCGTGGCTTTCATATACGTTTTCGTTGTGCATAATGGAATTTGTATTTTTACGTAGCGTAATGATTATATAGATTTAGTGGTATAGACATAAATAGACATTTTTCATGTAATATGCAGGGTTAAACTGTAAAGATTACAGAAACACTCAAAGGTGCCATGTGTATATGTTTGCATATAGCCAATTTTAGATGACTATGTCTATGTGTTTGTTGACACATCTTCATAAGGAAGGCCAATAATAAGATTTCTTTTTCACTCTTTCTTTGGATGTGTAAGTAAACTCCACCTAAGGCAGATCAGATATTTAAATGCATCATCTGCAGTTACATTTTGTAAAATTGCTCTGTTCCTCCCTCTCTCACATGCCAACACAGATTTACTCACATAATCTCCTTCTTCACATTGAGTTGAATTACTGAAATAATTGAACTTTTCCATGACATTCTAATTTATTGCGATGCACCTGCATTATGTTTACTCATGAACTATAATTCTGAGCATTTGTTTCTCTGCTGCAATGTGTTGGCATTGTTTCCAGGCTTTCATGAGACAGATGTATGTACACATGCAGAGGGCACGCATGCTGTACACACAACCAATATGGATTACTGATGAGAATGAAAAAAAAGCATTTAAGTTGTTTGTATGAGTGTTTGTATGTGTGCAGTGTGTATGTATGTTTGGATTAGTGTGTCTATGTTTGGGTGTATGTGTGTAGGAGTATGACTGTTTGGCAGTTATAGGGAGGACCTCTGTTTTTCCAAACTGTGAAACATTCAGCCTAGAATTTTGACAGGCTTGTTGGTAGCAGTACTACAGGGAAAGGGTGGACAACATCTTCACATATACATAAGTAGACATAGAAAACACTTTTAATCTTTATTACACACATTTCTGTCAGATATCTATCACATATTCCAAGGCGAACATAATTCATACTGTTAGTACTGGAAGTGTAAAATGCTAGTAAACAGCCTTTGCCATGTATATGAACATGTACCCAACTCCCTTATAAATACCAGTGTACACCCAAGATGATTGAATGTCCTACTCAGGATAATATTTCAGATATGGTTAATCTGCCATGACGTTAAACTTGCATGTAATTCATGTAATTCATAAACCACAACTTTATATGTTGTTGCTGCAGTAATGATATGCATCGGTGGAGTTTGTGTTACAGTGCTTGTCTTGAAGTTCTTTGCATCATACCAGGTAAAATGCTGACTGTCCAAAAACCGTCCAGGTCATTGAGCGTGTTCGATCCAGTTCTCTCTAATGCTAACGTTAGCCACTCTCTTCGCTGATGGAGCATTTTACCGGCGCGTCTGCAGTGTAGCCTTGCATTAGCATATCTGTGCTGTGTTGATGTTTTAGCAGAAATAGCCATGCTAATTAAATGCAAGGTGTCAATGGGGGGAGCTGCTGTGCAATTCAGATGAATGGACCCAAATTTAGTTTAATTGTTTACAGGCGTACAGTATTAAACCTTGGCCTTAAAGGGATAGTTCACCCAAAAATGAAAATTATGTCATTAATTACTCACCCTCATGTCGTTCCAAAACCGTAAGACCTTCGTTCATCTTCGGAACACAAATTAAGATAGTTTTGATAAAATCCGAGAGCTCTCTGACCCTCCCATAGACAGCAAGGGTCCTAACACAATCAAGGTCCAGAAACATAGCAAGGACATCGGTAAAATTCATGTTTTTTTTTTGTTATGTGAATGTGTAGTATTATCTGTTAGGATGTATTTTCTATGCCAGTGTCTAAGATGAATTTCTGTTCAGGAAATCTGGACAGACAATAAAGTTAAATTAAACTAAACTAAAAATAGTCCATGTGACATCAGAGGTTCAACCGTAATTTTAGGAAGCTATGAGAATACATTTTGTGCGCAAAGAAAACAAAAATAACGACTTTATTCAATAATTCTTCTCCTCCTCATCCTGTATGCTGTGGCATGCCACCATTGTGGAGAAAATCACGACGCATACGTCTGCTTCCGTATCATGTAAACAACGCATGCGCGTGCTACCGCATGTGCGTGTTAAACATAAGCTGCGGAGTCATGCGCATGCGTCGTGATATTCTTCACAATGGTGGCACACATTGAATAAGTGCGTTATTTTTGTTTTCTTTGCGCACAAAAAGTATACTCGTAGCTTCCTAAAATTACGGTTGAACCTCTGATGTCACATGAACTATTTTACCGATGTCCTTGCTATGTTTCTGGACCTTGATCGTGTTAGGACCCTTGCTGTCTATGGGAGGTTCAGAGAGCTCTCGGATTTTATCAAAAATATCTTAATTTGTGTTCCGAAGATGAACGAAGGTCTTACGGGTTTGGAACGACATGAGGGGTGAGTAATTCATGACGGAATTTTCATTTTTGGGTGAACTATCCCTTTAAGTATTTGACACACACACACACATGTTGGGTTTTCATGTTTTTCTATAGACATAATGTTTTTATGCTGTATAATCTGTATATTCTGCCCTCTAAACCCTGCCCCTTTTCCTAAACACAACCCTCTTTTTTTTGTTTTATACATTTTGCAATAATAATAATAAAAAAAAAGATCTGATTTATGGTCCCCAGTCTCCCCACAATTTTACTTTTACCTGGACCACATATGTGACCCTGGACCACAAAACCAATCATAAGGGTACATTTTTTAAAATTGACATTTATACATCATCCAAAGGCTGAATAAATAAGCTTTTCATTGATGTATGGTTTGTTAGGATAGGACAATATTTGGCTGAGATAATAACTATTTGAAAAACTGGAATCTGAGGGTGCAAAAAATCTAAATATTGAGAAAATCGCCTTTAAAGTTGTCCACATGAAGTTCTTAGCAATGCATTTTACGAATCAAAAATTGTTTTGATATATTTACAGTAGGAAATTTACAAAATATCTTCATAGAACATGATCTTTACTTAATGTCCTAATGATTTTTGGCATAAAAGAAAAATCAATAATTTTGACCCATACAATGTATTTTTGGCTATTGTTACAAATATACCCCAGCGACTTAAGACTGGTTTTGTGGTCCAGGGTCACATATACTTTTGCTGAAATATCTGTTTCTCCTTTACACGTATTGTACACTAATTGTAATTACTAAACACTAGACTTAACCATACTTTTACAGTTTTTTTCAACTGCTTACATTTTTAAAACTTTGCCTCTTTTTTTCAAAACTTTACACACAAAGCCAAGAATTATTGCACACGCAAAATGCCAAATTCCTCACATCTCTTGCAAAATGAAGCACGATCATTCAAAATATCACAATCACATCTCAAAAGCAAACGTTTGCAAACACTTTTGCCATAATATTAATTCCTGTTAGATTTTTGTGTGTTACATAGAAAATTGTGTGTTGTGTTCTGCAAAAAGTGTTTTATGAAATTGAGAACTGAGTCAAAGGCCGAGAATTAGTGTATGGTTTTGCAGATTTGGTGTGTGCTTCTGCTGTTTGAGTGTCAGGTTTCAGAAATTGTGTGACAAGTAAAGATTTTGTGTGTAAGCAGTTGGAAAAAACTGTAAAATACATATTTTGGCATTTGTGGATATAAAGCAAGACATTATTCACTCCCTATATTAACTATATGGAAGGTTTTAGGTGTGGCAACTTGGTTTGGTTAAGTTTGCGGTTGTTTTGTACATTTTTTGAAATTTCAACCCGCAAAACCTGAAATGCTTGCACATTTACTTCTGTATGTTCAAGGTGTACCACTTTCATGAGTTCCTATTAATGGATTTTTGTGGTTGACATAACAGAAGGCTATTAGCTCCATTAATGAGGTAAATGCATTGTTTAGGACTTCAGTTCTTGTTTACAGAAACCAAGAGCTCTATTGGTTTCAATGGGTCACTAAAGGGCTAGTTACATTATACAGTCATTAGGTGATGTTATCTGTTTATGTTATCTTAAGACATTGTAAACCTAACAACACTGCTGCTACAGAATAACCAATCTTTTCTGATTATGCAAATTTAGCCCACGCCTCCTTGTTTAGGCAAGAGAAACATAAACAAACCTGAGGGAGTTTACTGGGGGTGTATGCGGACAGACTTAGGGGCAAACACACAGAAAAGAAAGCTGATGCCACTTTTTATATTTCTCTCAGAATAAGAGTCAACATTTTTATTGGCATGATTGTCAGCATTTACAGTAAGTGTTTACACAGTACTTACAATAATGAAATATACAATACAGGAAATAAATGAAGCCAGATAAAGAAAGTAATATAGGAAGTAAAGCGAAATATAATAGAAAAGGGCAAGTTAAAAAAAGGACAAGTAAAATAGAATAAAACAACATAGAATATGTTAGTGGTGAATTTATGGTATATACAAAATTGTAGTAATGG